ACTGCAGTTATCGGACAATTCAGCGAAATAAGCCAAACTTCATATTTTTGATAGCACAGGCCATATAGGGAAAAAATTTGTCTCCGTAAATTGTGATCAAATACCGCTTGATAAATTTATGAATTTCACCATCATATTTGTAAATTTTTCAATAATATTAGGCTTATAGTTAATGTATAAAATAAAAATTGGTTTTAAACGTTCTTTTTGCTTCTTTTCTCCTGATAAGTTGTGATTTAGGAGTTACGGCCATAGGCGAATTAAGTCGACGATATAATAATAATAATAATCTTCATAATCTTCTAATATACATATAATTTTTTTTTTCTGCAATAATATTATCCATTTAACATCTGACTTCAAAAATATTGTCAATCACAGAATGCAGTATTTGAGTAAGCGTCGATGAATCAATATTATTATTGCAGTCTATTGAATATAATAGCTGTATCGCTATTATTTGGTCAATTAAAATCAAACGTTTTAAATTGCTTTATTAATAGTGTCTGTCGTCGAATTTCGAGTCATTGACCGATTGCTGTGTGTGCGTATATTTCCACTACTGGTCAGTGGCATGCCTCAGGAGTACTTTTCAATTTTTACAGTAATACAAGCAAAATATATCTAAATCTATTGTTTTATAAAGTCTTTTGTTCTTGAAATTATTTTACGGAGTAAATAATCGTGTAGCAGTGCAAATGCGCAAAATTTATTATTCCAGGGCCTAGGACACTATGTCGAAACCATTTCGCCACCGTACCGATTCACCGATACACAAACTACAACGTCAACAATTTTGCCAACTCGATCCTTACTTCCCTGCAGGATAACTACGTTCTTATTGCGCGAAAAAAACGGTGAAAATATTTATAGCGCACTGGTTGAATAATAATATTGCCGTTTTTTCACGCGAAACCGGGTTTTGTGTTGCCGATTATGAACAAACCGCGTATCCAACGCGCCGTTTTCGCGGTACACTCAGACGAGCGTATACTTTTGAAAACGGTTTCACTGTTACACCTATTGACTTTCTACCGACTTGTATATTGGGTTGCCACCTTTGAAAGATGTACTCGGAGACAGGCTGATGAACAAAAAAAAAAGGTCGCCTATACGCCTATGCATACATTTAATGTATAACAATAGTCAATAAATCGTATTTTATCTCATATTTTGGCGAACGAAAAATATTGTTCTCGTTGCTCATTGACAAACTATATACAATTGGTATAAATTGGTATAGAATGGTATCAATTTTACGACGACCCGGAGAATAATTCACTGAACCAGTAGCCCGTAGATTTTTTTTTTTTTTTTAATACTTACAAATTTTATATAAAAACTCGTGTAAAAATGTTTGTATACAGAGTTGGAAAATCGTATTTAATAAGTTGTAGCCGTTAGAAGGTGAAACTTTTAAAAAACCATGCTACCATTTGTTTATTTTTTTATAATTGCGTTTTCGAAGCTTTTTTGTGGGTTTCAAGTGCGTCATATATATTATAATGTGTTACCTGGGTATTTAGACGTTTCGAAAAAAAAAAAAAAAAAAAAAAAAAATGAAATATCGGCGAATGGCTTTATATAATGTAATATGCATGCAGTGTGTACAACGTTGCAGTCTAATACGTTATTGCGAACGCGTACAAATATGTATGGTATGTAGATGTAAATAGTTTTGCGCAACAGTCCGTATAAAAATTGTATTTTTTTTTTTTCCTTCTTCCTTAATGATGACGGCCGCGGCGGCCCCTTACCGATAATATAATAACAATAATATAATATAATACGTATGTGCCCGTATGTTTATTATCATTATTATTTTTTATTATTCGCCGTGTGTGATGTGTTTCGCGCGCAAACGATTATCTTAACGAGCTGCAAGGCCGTCGTCGTCAACGCGCCGCTGAGTGCAGCGTTTTTTTTTTTTTTTTTTTTTTCTCCTCGTAATAGAAAAGTCGCGATCGAAACACACTCGTGCGTACACGACTCGTATTGGTACATGCACGCACACACACACACACACACACACACATGCACACGCGCACACACGTAAAACTCGTATTACTCATAATAATATGCACACACACGCGCGCGCGCGCGCGCCGCACAACAACGGCAGCTATTCGTCGTCGGGTGACCCGGCAACGTCGAAAGGAAAAAAAAAAACGCACCCGAGACGTCGGCGGCTATACGGCAACGTTCCCCCATTTAAGGAGACGACCGCCGCCGCCACCACCACGCCCTCGTCCACCCCCCCTCCACTCCCCGAACACGATGGCTGCGGCATTTCAATATTAATAATACCAATTATTATTATTATTATTATTGCCATTACCTATACTGCCTATATAATAATACTACCGCCGGAGAAATATTCAGAAATTCAAAGTGTGTAACTATGTGAAATGATCGACATGAGCGATTCAAAAACAACAACAACGTGTTGACCAATTATACGTAATAAATATAGAAATACGGGAAAAAAAGTTAATGATTTCGTGACATAATTTTTGTTTGACGAGTTGCGTGCGTATTATAGAGAAACGTTTTGTCTTTTGACCATTGCTTCACGCCGTCGAGACGCGCTGGCGTAACTAGGCGGAGGGGGACTAATGGATACTAAGCCCCCGGAAAGTCGGAATAGGTTTTTTTTATAAAGGCGCACGTACTACTTATTGCAGTACTACGGGTGACGGACGGCGGAGAAAATATCTCCTCGTAAACATTTCCCCTTCGATAACCATAATAACACTGATGCGATGTGTTATACAATTATATTTAGTTATAAAAAAAAAAAAAAAAAAACATGTATACATAAATAAAAATAAATGTTCGAAAATCGGCTCCGTCCACTATGCCTTGACAATATTATTTGACCACCGCCGGTATACGTGTTTTTTAAAGATTAATGGAAACAAATTACACATAACATAAAATATGATATAACGCATACAAATAATTATTCCGAGAGTAATATTTTCGCTGTTGCATTAAATTCGTACTTTTACCTGTCTCCTAATATATCATTAAAATACAGTGTAGAAAACGTATCTACAGTTTTTTTTTTCTCGAAATGCTGTTATATTTTAAACGTTTTTTTTTTTTTTTTGGTTTTTCTTACATTAATATATAATTGTACGCATACAGCATACAAATACATCGCCCCCCCCCTCACCCAGAAATCTTTTGTTTATTGGTTATTTCGGTTTATTTTATCGTTTTAAAAAAAAATCATTAGCGTTCCCCCACCCCGCTCCGGGAAATTGTTTCCTGGCTGCGGTGTAGAAAATATTATCTATTTGATGCGTATATAAGACGGTTTTTTTTTTCTGATTTCAGCAAACGGCGCGTACCAACCGGTAGACGTGAAGAGACAACGAACCGCGTACACCAGATATCAGGTGCTCGAGCTGGAAAAGGAATTCCATTTCAACAAATATCTGACCCGGAGGCGGAGGATCGAGATTGCCCATTCGCTGGTGCTGTCGGAACGGCAGATCAAGATATGGTTCCAAAACCGGCGGATGAAGTACAAGAAGGACAATCATCTGCCCAACACGAAAAACGTGCGCCGGAAAAACGGAAGCACGCAGCCGGCCGGTAAAAAGTCGCGGGCCAAAAACAACAACAACAACAACAACAACAACAATAACAACCAGAACAACAACCATCTGCTGCAGCAGCAACCGCAGTGTTCGCCGACCGGGTTGAAAATCGACTCGCACGACATGTCGCCGCAACAGCAACCGGAGTTGAGGTTGCAGCAAAACGACACTGCCGGGTCTGTGCAGTCGCTGCAACAGCAGATGCAGGCGGCCATCATACCGCCGTCGTCGGTTTCCTCGTCTTCGTCGTCGACGGCACAGGCCATCGCCGCCGCCGCCGCCGCCGCCGGACACAACAACAGCAACAATAATCCGAACACGGCCGGCATGCAGACGCACCACCAACAGCACCAGCAACAGCAACAGCAGCAGATGCAACTCATGTTGCAGAACCACCAGACGCCGCAACACCTGTCGCAGCACCTACAGCAACAGCAGCAGGGCCTGACCATCGTCGGCGCGTCCGAGTACGACCTCACTCAGCTATAACAGCACGTTCTGCCCCCGGACTCGCGCCCGTTTTCCAAGGTATAAGTTACTTTATAAAAAATATACAATTTCCAAATAAAAAAATAATAATAAATATAGTGAAAAATGCGAAATCATAATGCATAATATACATACATACATACATACATACATATATATATCTCGGTAATTTCGAAATACGTACAAATTAACCGCGTAGTATAGACGTTTTTTGGTGGTTTTTTTTTCTCCCAATGCGGATCTCGCTGAGAGAAATGTCACGGAAAAAAAATCTGCTATTTACACTCTAGTATATCTCGTAATCGTATAATATAACATACTCGGGTAAAAATGATTCTCGATGCGCAGTAAAAGAAAAAAATTTCAAAAAAAAAAAAAATATGTTATTTAATGTTAGTACTCTTATATTTAGGTCCTTCTCTCCCCCCCCCCGTGTAATCGTTTTATTTTCGTTACGATTAAAAAACGGATTATATAAATTATAATAAAATAGAATAAATTATATTATGTAACACTTATATTTATTTATATTATTATTGTATACTTGAGTTAAACGAAAGAATAATTTGAAATTACAGCAGCTCATTTGTAAATTATTGAACTATTTAATATTATATTGTTGTACCTATATACTATAAGAAATCGAATTTTTTTTTTTTTTTTTTTTGTAATCTTTTATGTGTAAATACAAATCACGAAAAACAAAACACAAGCTCATTTATTTATTGGTCTATATATATATATATATAATATATACATAATATACACATTACTATATATATATATATATATGTAATTTTTTTTTTTTTTTTTTTTTTACTCGAAGAAACCGAGAAAATATATTTTTTTCAAACCNAAAAACAAAACACAAGCTCATTTATTTATTGGTCTATATATATATATATAATATATACATAATATACACATTACTATATATATATATATATGTAATTTTTTTTTTTTATTTTTTTTTTTGTAACTATAAAAAGGACTAATGAAAACACGTTTTTCGTTTTGTTTGTCGGTATATTATTATACGTTGTCGTCGGTTAGAAAATATATTTATTATTTTTTTTTTTTTTTTACTCGAAGAAACCGAGAAAATATATTTTTTTCAAACCGCGTCGTACCTATACCCGTGTCCTATATATTAGATACGTATACATAATATTATAATTTACATTTGTTTATTAGTCGCTATTATATACATATTATTATTTTCAATGTTTGTTGTTTCAATATTGTATTCCCCACTCCCCCCTTTAACATTACAATTATTATTATATGTTGAGTCTGATATAATATGTTTCAGTACCTACCTATACATACATATATATATATATATTTATATATAGTATTATTGTATTATTGAATGTGTTTTCTAATATTATATTATTTGAGAAAAAAAAAAACCAAACAAATATAATATTTTGAGAAAAATAAATAAATATATACGAATCGTCATGGAAACAAAAGACGTTTTTATTTTGTACAACCTTCACGCGCCTGTGTAAATTGCATCATCGGTCCCGGGGAAGAAGCTGGGTTCGTTACGATTTTCGGCCTTTATTTCTCTTCCATAACAACGATAATATTGTCTTACACAATTCGGTCCCTCTCGTTTTTTAGTCCGAATACCACATAATAATGCATATTTTATACGCATTGTGACACACGTTTTACTCAAAATCAATGGGTCCCACATCGATTTTTTTTTTTTTTTTTTACAAAAAGACACAAGAATCATGCATACATATCGCCAGGGGCGGTTTTCAGACTTTTTTCTGCCAGAGGTTCTTTGATATTAACTTACAATACATTTAACATATAAAAAAAAAAAATATTTACTCAATATTTATTCATTTATTCTAATTATCTTACATATTATTTTTGTTTTACTTATCTACATGAACGTACCTATATATGTTTTAATCAAGAACAAAGTTTAAAGTCGATTCAAAAATTATAACGCAAAGTTTCCTTTTCGCAGTCTAAACCCGGAGTATGATATTGGGCCGCTGTTAGCCGTATCGCGCCGTTTTGAAAATTGAATTTGTTATCGTTATGGAAAACTATACGAATTCAAGACGAAGCCCCCCTAACCCCACTCCACCACCGCCATCCCCTCCCCCCGGTACTTTCCCCCGGACACCGAAGACGTATAGATAACAAGGCACAAAGATGATATTGTCGCGGATTCTACGACGTTCGCGGAACACGGTGCGACTGTACGGGTGTCGGTCGGGTGGCCGACGATCGAGCCGAACGACGATTTCGAAATGAGAATCGATTCCGACGCCGCGCGTGTGCTTACAATAGTTAAAGGTCTAAGTGTATGTATAAGAATAATAATAAAAAAAAAAAATAAATAAAAAACTGTACACACGCGATTATATTACAATAAAATATTATTGTGATGGCGATGCGTGCGCTCGACAGGGAACACGCCGGCTCATCTCCCGACCTCTGCGACGACTACAATATTGTCATTATCATTATTATTATATTCTTTTCTTCGCCGCTGCGATTGGCACGGTGATTTTCACAACGGTGTTGCGGCGCTGCCGCGGCAAGTGCGACGCGCGCGTGCAGGTACCGACGACGAGCGGATAGAGAAAAAAACATTTCAAAGAATACGATATTGCCTACGTTTGTTTTTTTTTTTTTTGTCTTTTTTATAAATTACTGCCTATTATTATATTAATAATATAATGTAACGCGCGCGCGCGCGATAAAAGTTTACCGCGGCGGCGGCGGCGGCGGCAGCGGCCGACCTTGGGCACGGCCCAGACGGTATTCCGGTGCGCGCGGCGACAACAATGCGGCGGTGTGCACCGCGTTCTGCTAGCGCGCGGGGCGACGGGGCGGGGAAAAAAAAGAGTAAAAAAAAATAAAAAAAAAAATATGAATAAAAAATAAATACAATAGTATACGGCCCGCGTACCGGTGCGCGCGTGCGTCCGCGTCCCTTTTGTCTTTGTGTCGCTCTCGCGCGCGCACACACCGACTCTAATTAACTTCTTTCCACATCACACGCGCGCTACACTGCGCGCCCGGCCCCGCCTCCCCGTGTATGCCTTCCCGTGTCTTACCTACACGCCGTCTTCCCACGACGGTATACGCGCGGTGCGTACATTGTTATAGTAACGTACGTACGAGGTATATGGGAAATCGACACAATGCACAATTGCTGGCGAGAATATTACATTATGTCCGCGCGAGAAATTACGATTTTATTTTTTTGGGTTTTTTCGCCGTCGTCGTCGCGCGTAAGTATTGGGCGGGACCGTGTCTGAGTGGATGCGGGAGGTGCTCGCGCACCGTGCGCGAACACTTTGAAAGTTGTGCGATTGAATACTTTCACAATGTATAAATGCGCGTGTCGGATTAAGAAACCTTTTTTTTTTTTTTTTTTTTTTTCGCTCAAACACGCGTCGGCTTTTCCGGCACCGGGTGCCGATTTCGCTAGGCACGGCACCGGGTATTGGTATTGCGTGCGCCTGTACTACGATAAATATATTGAACGCACCCGGTATATCGTGCTGTAGCTATGCCTCGTTCCGGCATCGTCTGCCGCAACCCGTCCGTCCGCCCTGTATGTATGTAGTGCGTGGCGCCACCGCGTGGTTTTCGGATGTGCAGCGCGATAGCTGGAAACGAAGGGTGACGGGAGAAGGGACCCGAGAGTCATTGGGCCGGCGGCACGGTCGGGACAATCGCAATGCTCTTACTGTACACAGACACAGCGTCATAAACTTCTCGGCTACGACTTTGTTTTCAAAAGTGTAAACCGGCGTGTTACATACTTTATGAAACACGAAAACAAATGTTTTAGGTATCATTTGGTTTCGGTATTTTTTTTTTTTTTTTTCTAACGAACGTATAATCAGAATCGTATATTCCCATAGCTATAAAATAATCGGCAAACATCCGTTTACAAACATTCTATGAACGTGTACCGATTTGAAGGTTTTAACCGGTGGTAGTTGTATAATGTATGGGGACGGAATCCTTTTCTTATTCAGAACGGACTTATCCGTCCCCTCTAGTTTAAATCTTCGGAATCTGACGGGGCGTTTTGATTACTGTCATTGAAGTGAGTTGAATATTATATTATATATGCTGTACGCATTATCGCATCTTCCATTTATTGATATTTATGTATGCAATGGCTGTTAACTTGTACAGATCTACAAAAACGATATCCATTCTCATTCGCCGCTTTATCCCGACTGTTTGGGATATTTCACATGGAACCGCCGTTCTAAACTTCCACTCGACTCGATCTCCCACCTAGCGTACACCCGCCGTCCTCGTATCAATCTCAATTGCGTTCAACCGCGTCTTTTTCAATTTTCCTTTCCGCCTATATTTCCTCCCGCGTTTATTTCCATTACGATTCTCATCGCTTCAGTTTCCTCCGTCGTTGCCCCGAACCGTCTGTTAATACGCGTAGCCGCCACACCTCCGAAAAAGTTTCGCCCGCTTTGACCACTGGTTTTAGCTGAAGTTTTCAATGCAAGGCGCATAAACTGACAACAACAACAATAATAGTATGCTAAAGCCACCGCGCCGTGGCGTACACAATATCGTCGTTACGAACGTTTCATACACGCCGCCGCGAAAGCTGTCGTGTTACACAATACCGGACGAGGTATGTAATAACGTATAACAGTGTGTACGAGTAAAAAACGATTATTATCTCGATTTTAACGAAATAAAATATTAAAAAAAAAAAACCGCGTTCATCCGACCATAACCGCGTATGTGTACAACTGCAGCGTTTCGCTTTTGTCGTGTACACATACATAATATTATCACAAGGTGTATGCGCGCACAGCGTTATATTATTATACACAGTAAGTTTATAATCGTCTTGTGCGGTTTGCGCAACATTCCCGTGCGGAATACAAACAACTGGCTGCGGCAACGGCAGCGCGTGGTGATGCCCCCGCCAGTCGAGATGTGCTATAGATGCACGAATCGAAATAAAACCATCTATCAACCGGGCGTACGACGCCATGAATGGAAACCGACAATATTCTGCATGGTCAATTTGACATGAAAAAACAAACAAATAAAATATCAACGAAAAAAAAAAAATTAAAAATTAAAAAAAAAACGTGATTGGTAGGTATATAAACGACGATTATAAATACATTTTTTTTTTATTGTTATAAATAACAGGTCCGGTGACTTCTGTAATAAAATATAATATGTTTCCGAATGTAACTTAATATTATACAGCCGATCACCGCGACTTGTTTTACATTTTGTTCTTTTTTTTTTATTTCATAAAACCAAACATAATATAGTATTAAAACGTTTATATTAATTAAATCGACTTCAATAAATATTGCAGTATAATAGTTTATATGCGCAGGACGATCGATCGAGACACTCATCGTCTCGGAAAGTATAAAAACTTTTTTCTGCATTTATTTTTTTTTTTAGAAAATGTAATATGCTTATCTCCAAGTATATTTTAGTATAGGTTAGCCCCTAATTTTGGATCTAACCTAACCTATAATCACTATAATCACTTTTGATTTTTAAATAGCAACCTACACTAAAAATTTCATAAAAACATGGATTGTTATTAGTTTCAGCACATTTTATGGTTGAAATTTTGAATTTCTGTTAATGAAGTATTCTCAGACTTTCAATTTTGGGTAGGGAGAAAAAAGTGACGCATCATTTGTGTGGCAGCGAGATGTACAGCGTTTAAATAGTACTCCACTAATCTCTGATTACCTAAAAGTACTTAAAAGTAGAATATCTCGTCAACGGGTTGATGAAAATTCAAAATTCCAACACCATAATGAAATAAAACTACAACGATATAAACAATTTTTAATGATAATATAACCTTTCGAAGCGGCTTGTTTCTTAAATCGTCCAAAATAAAAAATATAAAAAAAAAAAAACAAAAGTAAGTATGAATATAGTTTATTATTTATAGATATCAAAAAACGTCGTTCAAAAAACATATATGGTAAATATTTCATTTTTAAATTGGTGAGATAATTTTGTTTATAGACTATTTGATCCTAAATGTGTACAATGTCAGTACGAAAACACATTTTTGCTATATTGCTCGCCAGATAGACAGAGACGACAAATACCACTGTGACGCCATATCAAAGATATGAATTAAAACATAGGCACATAATATATGCACCTAAAATATTAAACGATATGACATTGTAATAAGAAACATTTTTTTTTTCTTTTCTGAAAAACCCCGTGATTTGTTTTATTAAAATAATTAGGTACGATGCACAGATAATTGGCATCGGAAAACGCGCGAAAAATTCAACACGTAATATTGTACATTAAGGCTCGGATACAATGTATACGCGATTTAAAGTATTACTGGTGTATACAGAGTGATCGATCTATCTTGATCGTTATGTCGGAAAGTAATGATTTTTTTTTTTGAAATTTGTTTTATAGAACGTTTAGGAAACAAACT